TGTGTGTGTGTGTGTGTGTGTGTGTGTGTGTGTGTGTGTGTGTAGCCAGGAGCCATGCTTTCTTCATCTCGGAACCCTCCAAAATATCTAGCATAGTGCTAAATACTCACTTGAAACACACAAAATGGTATCTTAAACAACGTGACTGCCACACTGACAAAGTTTTTAACTGAATTCATCTTGGATACTACTGTAATCTAAGACACAGAAACCTTCCATTAAGCAGCATAAAAAGCAACATCCTGATATGTATACATTGTGGTCAAATGTTCATGATATAAATGGAAAAAAGGTTATAAAACAGTGTAATCAGTGTGAATTCAAATTGAAGTACATTTGAGGATACACAAATTTTTAAAATGTAAGGGCATACATAAAACAAACTCATACTTTATTTTTGTTCTGATTTTCTTTGGGTGGGGGGTTGAGACAGGGTCTCACTATGTAGCCCAGGCTGGCCTCAACTCATGGCTATCCTCCTGCTTCAGTTTCCTGAGTGCTGGGATCACAGGCATGTGCCACCATTCCCAGCTCAAACTCATACTTAAATACAACAATGCTTATAGTATTACTCCAAGGTATAGTTGCTGGATTTTTAAAAACTTCCTTTAAAACCTTTCTTTCATAGTTTCCATAATTTCAAAAGTGAAAAACTGCAATTATTATGAGAAAAATTTTTTACAAATTAGAAATCATATTTTCAAAAACTGGCCTTCAAAGGTCATTAGAAGAAAAAAGGCCTAACCCAACAGAATATTATGACAAAAAACTTCCAAAAATTCTACATCAATCTGACACTATTAGTGTAAGTTTTCCTTCAGTAATTCATCTTCAAAACAAATATCATTTCAGTACCATACCTACATTAAAACAGCAGGTATTTTTTCTTGTAACTGAAGCTCTCAACTGATAAGCTATAGAACTAGAACCTACATTTTAAAATAAGATGAAAATCATTTTAGATAAGGCACAACAAAATAATACAAATTTTCTTTTAAAAGTCATATTTTAGGCAGATTAAAGTACAACGGAAACTTTCTAGCAGAACAGAGTGGAAACAAGGAGTAAATTATCAAAACTGGTTCCTTTTCTAAACTTTTTGATGGGAATATGTAGATTTAGTTTCTTTACAAAAAAACTATTATTTTAAAAGTGCCAGCCTGAGGCTATTTACAATTTTTTCTTTGTGACACCCACTTCAGAAATCATTAGCAAACCTGTTATAATGCCAGATAAGCAACGCCTGGTTGGCATACCAATAGCTGAATCATAGTAATAACACTTCATCCTTTTGATAGGAAGGTACAAAGCCATCTATTGTGCCCTGTCATTTTCCTTGAAAACAGAATAAATGGATTCAGTAGTCTCTGCAAATCAAAGTTACATGCTTCATGTCTAAGACTTAAGGAAGATCTCTTATCAATATTTCACTACAACAGCCAATATTTCACTACAAGAGCTGATAAAGAGACAGCTGAAAGGAAATATAGATATATTTGATTACCATGCTTACCCAGAAAAGATGACCATTAAGGAAATCATACTGTATTTTAAGAGGAACCATTATGTAAACAATATCAACCTGTGAGTTCAGATAGTAGGCTGAAAAAATTAGCCACTATTATAGGAATAATTTAATGGTCTCTTTACCTCGGGTAGTTTTTTTTTTTTTTTTGGGTATCAGGGATCAAACTCAGGTACTTGTGCTTGCGCAGCAAGCGGCGAAACCACTGAGCTAAATCCCCGGCCCTCGGGTAGTTTTTTTAATATAGAAATTTATGCTAATCTTTAAAGAAATTTTCTAAAGTAGATAGTTAAGTGACCTAAAAATTATATTTTACATCAAAAGTAATTTGACTCTAGGGAGAATCAACACTTATTCAACAAACAAAATAATTTAAGTATTTCCATTTCTAATCTGTTTAATCAACACATTTAAAAGAAATTTTTGTATGCTTACAAAATATGGTTATGTAAATATCAGTTCAAGAACCAGAGGAGAGTCTTTTTTTTTTGGTACCAGGGACTGAACTCATGACCTGGCCCTTACAAGGCAGGCGTGGTGCCACTGAGCTAAATCCCTGGCCCTAGAGGAGAGTCTTTTAGGCAACACATACACATAAGTCACTTTTACAAAAAATTCTCTCTCCATCACAGAATAATATGAGGAGATACAACCAAAGAGAGAGAGAGGAGAGAGAGAGAGAGAGAGAGAGAGAGAGAAAGTTATCGTCTGCCAATACTCTGCCCAAGTATCAGCTCCAAAAAATACAGAACAGTTTGGTCCACACTGAGAGAATGCTAGAGATAACATGCAATTCTCTGGTCCATATGCCCAACACAATTTTCAGGCTCTGAGTGCAAAAAATTTTAGAAGGCCACACTGACACCCTCAACTTATTGTATGAGTTCTGAGAGGGCAGAGCAAAACTGAGGGAGGAATTCATTGAAGAATTTTCTTCTGTCCAAGGTTCTTAACTGGGAAGTATGAAGTTAGCAGGCAAACCTACTACAAAGCAGCAGATCAGAGTAACTGAGAGTAGAATGGCAAATGTTGATCTACAAATCAAAAGGTATATAACCTGCAACTGGGTGACCATTAATTGACCATCAGCTAACCCGAAAGCAAAGAGAAAACCAAATGAAACTACTACCTTCATTCCCCAAATTTCTTATATGCAGGAGCTGGAGACAGAAATATTCACAGGGAAAGAAAGCACCTTGTATGTAGCTACTCTTGCTTCTAGGTTCTTCCCTAGGTTCTACCTCCTCAGACATCTGAATAAACACAGGCTCTATGCAGTCCACAGCAAGCTGGAGGGCCCATGTGCTAATGGTAAGAGCCAAATGGAAGCATGATACACTGGGAAGGTAGTAAAGAAATAACATTGATAGGCTTTAAGCAAGTAAGAAGAATTACACTGGCATATTAAAATGTAACTCTACATGAGTTACACGAACAACAGACTCACTGAGAGAGAAATAGGGCAAACAATTCCTTTCACAATAACATCCAAAAAAATGAAATATCTAGGAATCAACCTAACAAAAGGAATCAAAGACCTCTTCTCTGAAAACTATAGCACTCTGAAAAGAGAGATTGAAGGTGATATCAGAAAATGGAAAGACATCCCTTGCTGCTGGGTAGGAAGAATCAACATAATGAAAATGGCCATACTTCCAAAACTGATATATAGATTCAAAGCAATTCCAAATGAAATTCCAGCAGCATACTTCTCCAGACCTTGAGAAAACAATCCAAAAATTCATTTGGAACCAAAAGAGACCTAGAATAGCAAAAGCAATTCTAGGCAACAGAGACATGACAGGTGGTATCACAACTCCCAACTTGAAACTATACCACAAAGCTACTGTGATAAAAAACAGCATGGTACTGGCAAAGAAACAGACCTGAGGACCAGTGGAACAGATTAGAAGATGCAGAAATAACTCCAGACACACTCAGCCACCTCATTTTCAATAAAGGGACCAAATACCCTCATTGGAGGGAAGATAGCCTCTTTAATAAAGGGTGCTGGAAAAACTGGGTTTCAACTTGCTAAAGATTAAAACTAGACCTATATCTCTCACCATGCACTAAACTAAAATCGAAATGGATTAAAGATCTATATATTAAAAAAGAAACACTAAACCAGCTGGAAGAGAGGTTAGGTAGAACTCTTGAAGACATTGGTGTAGGAAAAGATTTTATGAACAAAACCTCAGTTGCCCGTGAACTAGCAAGAACAATCAACAAGTGGGATCTCTTCTTATTAAAAAGCTTCTGCACAGCAAGAGAAACCACCAGCAGTGTGAAGAGACAACCCACAATGTGGGGAAAAATTTCCCCTGCTGTGCCTCTGACAAAGGTCTACTATCTAGAATCTATAAAGAACTTTAAAAAATCAGACCTTCCAAATTTAAAGACCCAATCCAAAAATGGGCATTTGAAATGAACAGACATTTCTCAGACAAAGAAGTAAAAATAACAAATATACATATAAAAAAATATTCAACATCAGTGGTAATTTGAGAGATGGAAATGAAAACAACACTGAGATTCCACCTCACCCCAGAAAGAATGGCTGCTATCTTGAAATCAACCAATAACAAATGCTGGCAGGGCTGTGGGGAAAGAGAAACACTGGTTCACTGCTGGTGGGAGTGTGGACTGGGGCAACCACTGTGGAAATCAGTATGGAGATACCTCAAAGAACTAGGACTGGAAGTCCCATTTGACCCAGGTATTCCCCTTCTGGGGATCTTCCCCAAAGAATTAAAAGAATCATACCACAGTGATATATGTGCACCCATGTTCATAGCAGCACAATTTGTAACAGTCAAAACTTGGAAGCAGCCCAATTGCCCATCAACTGGAGACTGGATAAAGAAAATGGGGGTTTTAAAAAATAAAATAGAGTACTACTCAGCCATAAAAAATGAGAAATTAGAGACATTTATAGCTAAATGGATGCACATTGAGGCAATATTCTTAAGGGAAATAGATAGGACACACGTGTAAACACGGAATAGTTTCTCTGGTGTGAGAAACTGAAAGTGTAAATAAGGACTAAAAAGTATAATAGACAATGTGAAATAGGAAGAAAAGGGGCAAAGGGGAAGGAAATGGGAGGGGTAGGGGAAAGGAAAGAAGGGAATGGAATTAATATAAAAAATGGAAACAAAGTTTTTGTAATTAGGGAGAGATGGAGGGGTTGGAGGGAGGGCAGGGGAATGGAGAAGAATAAGAACCAAGAGAGATTATGTAAAGGTGACTATTTCCAATGATGAATGTCATTATACTGTATACCTAGGGCCAGGGATTTAGCTCAGTGGTTTCGCTGCCTGCTGCACAAGCGCAAGGACCCGAGTTCGATCCCCGGTACAAAAAAACAAAACAAAACTATATTGTATACCTAAAATGTACCAATAAAATTAATTTTAAAAATACAGAAAAAGAAAAAAAAAGAAAGTTGGTACTTTTCCAGTATCACCTGTGCAACGAAGGCTACACTGCATGCTGAGAAAAAAATAGTAAATCATCAAAAAATGCATCTCTATGGAGAACACACAGAGGAGGGGGCCAAAGATATGTATGGGGCACACAGTCAAAACTGAGGGCCTTTGTCCAGATGACAGATGATTTAGGTTCACAATGGTAGTAGGGAGGGAAGACATGAGAGAATGAAATTTGACACCCAAAACTATCCTTAGAAGAGAAAGCCATGTTATATTTGAACCTTAGAAAATATCAAAGAATGATCTACAAATTATTTTATTTTGAAAAAGCACAAACTACTATGTAGAATAGACATGTTAGCCAATAATTGTTTCAAGAGGTAACGTGATGTGATACAACTGGTAAGAGAAGGAAAAAGCACGAAGGGGGGCCAGCAGTAGCAGCAAAGCAAGAAGATGTAGTAATTATCCCCTGTAGTATTACTTTCCCGTGGCCTGTCTTAGATATCACTGCCCAGCAATCTTTCAGTGATCTCTTAAAAAAGGTGATTCAGTAAGTGCTTAGGTTATAGGATCAGGAATACACACAGGAAGGCTGGGGTAAACAACTCTGCACTGGCTCAAATTCACATATTTCAAGTGAATTGGAAGGGAAGTGGAGGTGATCTGGAAAAGAATGTCATTCAAGTATTGACAAAACACCAAGGGAATAAATTAAAGAACTGAAACAAATTTCTTCATTAAACAGTGAGCAAAGCAATATTTCTGAATTATTTTAAGTATAAGTATAATCAAATTAGGAATCAGAAGTACAAATCTGACTATATCCTTTAAAGTTTAGATTCGTACTTTCTAACCTAGAAGACATTTTTCATTTTTCACATGTCTTTTAGAAATTGTGACACAGCTTAAGAACAGAAAAGATTTGAAGTTAGAATGGTGAACTGGGAGTCTTTACCTCACAGACAGTAACTGACAAAATCTATGTGGAGCAAAAAGTATTTTCATGCCCTGCTGATGGGGGTATAAGTTGGTGTAACTTTCTGACAGGCACTTTGACAATAACGACATCCGTAACATACATGCATGCCCTCTGAAAAAGAGTTCTGCACAGGCAATATTTACACAAATGTAAATACATATGTTGGATGTTTACCACAGCATTATTTATAAGGAAATTAAACATCCCAATATGGGTAATGATGACTAACGAGAAAAAATGAAATGCATCACATTTTTTATTATTGATACAGAATGGTATCTAAACACACTGTTAAGCAAAAACAAAAACAAAAAACTACTGAAGAACAGCATTAGTGCACAATGCCATTTATGAAACTGATACAAGGTGTAGTGGAGACCTTATGGAGTAGCAGCCAGAACAGTAGAATAAGGATCCTTGAAAGTCCTCTTCTCCAAAAATCAACAAGCAACGTGGCAAAAAGTGTCAAAATCAATTTTTTAAGAACTCTGGAAATTAACCAAAGGCTTGTAACAATCCTGCAAATATGTATTTTTAAAAAAAGTTTAATCTTGATAACAGCAGCAAGATTTTTGGGATTTTTAACTTGCAATAGTCCCATACTTCTTTTCCAGTCCCATGATAGCCTAGAAAAACAGCAATCTGAATGAAAACTGGTATCTTAGCAGCTTGTGGAGGGGGCAGAACAGGGCTGGACTCCTCTCCAAAGCCCATCTCACAGAAATAAAGAACTCTGAAGACGGTGAAGTTTCCTACCCACATCTTCTACCTAGCAAAGTGGATCTCCATCAGGTCACCATAATTCCATACGATGAGTGGAAAAGGATTCAGGAAAGCCTGGATGGTCTGACAAGAGAAGCAGCAGTTCTTCGTGCAGAAAGAAATTCAAAATAAGAAATGCATCTCCGATCCCAAGAAGTGGTGAAACACTGGACTAATACATATGCGGGGATGAAAGAACAGAAACTTAAAGCCAAAAAAATGCACAATGAAGAAATTGAAGCCAAAAGACAAATCCTGGATCTGGAAGAGGAAATCCACAAACAAGGAGAAAGAAAAAAGGCCACTGAATATGCAAAGCACTATCAGTTTTACCAGACAGAAAGAGTGAAGAACTTTCAGGTACTATTTGAATTTTCTTCTCTTTTTATATATTCAATATGCATAATTAATTATAATCTCTATATAAGTAATGTTATTTTCTTAAATACTGGAATTTTTTTGCAGTCAGGACTTCTTCTCAGTAGAGTTATGAAAGAACATGATGCCCAGATTGTATTCTGTAAGAGTAAGGTAAAACCAGATACCAAATAGGAAGAACAACTGAAACTCAACACTGAAAAAGCTTTTAAAGAAGAGCAAGAAAAAGCAGAAAAACAACACAGAGAAAGAATGGCTCTTGCTGAGGAGCATCTAAAACAAATAAAGGAACATGAAGAGGAAAAAGAAAGGAAGAAAAAACATGAAGAAAAAGATGCTGAGGAGATAAAGCGACAAAATGTATTGTATGAAATAGAAATGAGAAAAAAACTAAAAAAGAAAAAAGAAGAGATAGATGAAAGCAGAAAGCTGTTTTTTGAACATATGTCTAATAAAAACATCATCAAAGCTGTCGAACTGCAGCAACAAGAGGAGGGAGATGAAAAGATTCGAACATTTATCAAAGCAAAAAAGCATCTGGTGCAAATGAGAGAAAAAGAAGCTGAAACACACAGGCTAATGGAAGAATGGAGAGAAAACAATAAATAATTTCCTGAGTGAACTAATAAAAGAGAAACTCGATAATGAAGATTTGATTAATGCTAAAGACATTGCAGAAGCTGAGGCTGAATGGGAGAAAAAAGAAAAAGAAAAGTGTGAAAAAAACAAACCAGATTTAAAAGCAATTGCAGAACATAGAGCCATTATGATGAAAAATAAAGAGGAAGAAGAAAGACAAAGGAAAATAAAATCTAAACAACAACTGCTGGCTGTCATGAAAGCAGATCAAATTTTCAGGGAGCAGGAAAAGGAGAAAAAACACAAAGTTGATATAGAACGCCAAGAAGTTCAAGATGCCCATATTCAACAAATGGCCAAAAATAAATTTAATGCACAACAAGCAAAAGAAACAGAATTAGAATATTGCAGACATACTGAAACTCTTGCAGCTGAAAAGGAGAAAGAATTTCAGGATTATGCCAGAGAAGTGACTGAACTTGAATCTGAATCAACAAGTAAATATATTTACCCTCTTGTAAAAGCTGTACAGGAAGGACCTGGAGGTGGCCGTGGACCAGCTTTTGTGGACAGAGATGGATTAAGACCCAGCTATCAAGCAAACAATTTTAGTGGAGTCCAGGTCCCTTTTTACTATTCTCAGGGATCAAAATATAATTCACAGACGTCTAAGGGAAGGCTAGGTTTTACATGGTAGAAAAATGTAAAGATTGAGAAGACTAGTAGCAAATATGAGCTACAAATGTAATATACTGTGTTAATAAAGCCACTTTTCATCTCAAAAAAAAAAGAAACTGGTACACACATTTCTTATTATGTATGCAAAAATATATTCTAATATGCTTATTCCTGAGAGGTAAGACACTGAAGAACTTTCACTCATTTTCAATATTGAGTTTTTTAAAAAACAAAACACATCATTTTCTAGAAATTAATAAAGCCCTTCCTTTTTTCTTAAATGTTTAAGAATTAGAACACAAAATAATCTTGAAGGTGAGCTATTAAAACTGGAGAGGCAGACCACCTTGGCTGAGTACAGCTGGCTTTCAAATTGTAGCCCTGCGTACTAGTAAAGCTGGGCACCATTCCAGGCTTCACACTACACAAATTAGGCTACAGAAGTCAGTCCTGTTGACCTAGGCCTGTAATCTGACTAATGAAATGAACAGTGAGTGGCCCTTTCACAGGTCACAGACAGAAATGGTTCCTGAACCCAGACTGAGGGATCAAATATACTATAAAGTAATTTAAGGTTTAAGTTACTGTCCGACCACATCTTAAGACTTACTAAATTATGTACAAGAAAACATGAACAAGACAAAAATAACAGCCTGACTGCAATAAAAACACATCCCATAAAAGAGGAAAACAAGGAAGACCATATGATAAAAGTTAACTTCTCTCTTAAATAAAACATGAGGGTAATAAAATACCAAGCACTTGTGCTGGGTACTGGGGATATAAAAATCACAAAGTAGATACCTGCCCTTTGTGTCATAGTACCTGCCCAGGTCTATAGTATCAGAGAAAAATATAAATGAATAACTACAAAACCCAGTTAAGAAGTTATGTTACAAGGTTCACAGGTGTATGTACCCAAGAGAAAATTATCTGGTGGGCGTGGCCAGATAACAGGCTGGAAGTATGGTTGGGGAGGATGGGATGGCAGAGCACTGTGGGCTTTTGGACAGGGGAACAGCTTGCTGGGTGGCATGGGGAGCAGAGCTGTAAATAATTCTGACAACAACACAGACTATGGATGAGGAGAACAGTGATAGGGCACTAAAACCAGAACAGGATAAATTTAGTCACACCCAATTAATGGTGGTGGCGGTATACAAAGAATCAGCATAGCAGAAAACTGGATTGGGGAAGTAGGAAGCAGATTCAAGAACCACTAAACATAAGAAATTAACCAAGATCTGAAGTGAATGAATGGTCACAGACTGTCAGATGAAGTGCTGTGATTCAAACTTTAAATTATAGGTATTTCTGAAAGAAAAAAAGGATGAAACAATAAGCAAGGAATACAGTACAAAGAAATCTGAAAAATCAAAAAAGATTGGAAGTTGAAAGATTCCCCAGCCCCAAAAAAGAGAAAATCAATAGCATTAATTATAAATTCTCTTGATTTTTTTTTTTTTGCTTTAAATAAGGGGTGGGAGGGTCTCTAAGCTTCCCAAAGAACAGATATTATTTAAATAGTCAAGAGAGATTAAGATGACAACGCCATGGTGAAAAACACATGCGATTTCTGTACTCAATTTGCTTGGTAACAAAAAGTCTTTTAGAACTGTGATGTAGTGATGATTGTGAATGAATGAATGAATGAATGAATTTCATCCAATACCTTTTCTTCAGAGAACAATGAAAGGGCTAATTCAGAGCTCTATGGCTGAAGCCAAAAGAAAATCTTATAATTCTGATTGCTGTAGGCAAATATTATATTATACTGCCACTGTGAGTGAAAAACAAAGAAAGGACACATAAGACACAAAAATTATGTAACAAAACCAGTAGCTATGGGGAGCAGGTACAATCTTCACATCCCCTTATTTATCATGATAGGAAGTCAAAAGCTACTGCTTTATAGAGTGACCAAAATGATCACAATTAGGTCTATAGTAGTGAGACATGGTGGCACATACTTGTAATCCCAGCACTCTGAGAAGCTGAGGCAGGAGGATTGAAAGTTGCAGCCCAGCCTGGCAACTTAGCAACTTAATGAGATCCAGTCTCAAGATAAAAAATAATAATGAAAAGGTAGGAGGTGCATGGACGTAGTTCAGTGTAATGGCCCTGTGTTCAATTGCCAGTACCCAACCCCAAGTCTATTGTTAATTTCAAGTAAAGAGGAACATCAACTCTTTTTAGCTCCTCAAAAATGCTGGCATGGACCAGGCTGGATGCCTATAATCCTAACACCAGGGAGGCTGAGACAGGAGGACTGCTGCAAGTTTGAGGCCAGCCTCTGAACTACACAGCAGAGACCCTGTCTCAAAAAAATTAAAATGAAATGCTGGCATACATTACATTATTACATTGTATTACCTTATTACTGACATTATAAGGCATATTTACAATTCACATACTTGGTAGTAAGTATCTAAACTCTTCAATCAATAAAATGGTCCCCTTGGGGCCAGGGATTTAGCTCAGTGGTTTCGCCACCTGCTGCTCAAGCGCAAGGACCCAAGTTCAATCCCTGGTACCAAAAATAAAATAAAATAAATAAAATAAAATAAAATAAATAAAATGGTCCCCAATTTACAATGGTTTGGTTTAGGATTTTTCAGCTTTTCAATAACAGGAAAGCAATACCATTCAATAGAAACTGTATTTTAAATTGTGATCTTTCCCCAGCTAGTGATGTGCTGTGTGACACTTTTCTGCAATGCTGGGCAGTGGCAGTGAGCTGGAGCCAATCACATGGTACCAGGCTAAGTCACTGACATTCCAGTCTTCAAGCCGCTGAGCTATGCTGGTTCAGGAGCTTAGGAGAAGAGTACATTATTGGCTCATGACATTTCCAACTTATGAAGGGTTTACGTAATTCAAAAAGCATCTGTAATATAATTCATTTGCACTTTAACTTCAGTTAACATCGGATAACATTGTTAAAATTGATAACATTGATAACACTGTTAAAAATGAATTCAAAATTAAAATCAAGTCCACTTTTTCTGCTCTTAAAGAATATTATTATATTTAAAAGAGAATGGTTTAAAAACCATTACTGAAGAGAAAATTATTCTTGAAAGGATTTTTCTTATTATTCTTAAAAGGATTTTTAAAGACTCAGCTGTCACTATTTTAGAGGAGACCCTAAGAAATAGAAAAAAAAGAGCCAAATAGTTATATATTTGCTAATGAGAAGATTATGGGTGATTATGCCTTGTCTTTAAATTTGTGTTTTAAATGTTACTATTTTTATAATTTAAAAATACAAAAACACATGTTAGTATACTTTATAAATTCAAAAAATATATAATTATATATACAAACTAAAAGAGAATTTACAGACATAAAAATAAAGTTTAATGTTCAATTTTGTTTTTAGGAAACTGTTTATATATACCATAAAAACTGAATCCCAGCTACTTAGAAGGCTGAGGCAGGAGGATTCATGCCCAGCCTGGGCAACTTAGCAATTTAGAAAGGCTCTGTCTCAAAATAGAAACAGGCTAGGGATGTGGATCAGTGTACCAGTGTGAAGGCCCTGGGTTCAATCCCCAGTATTTTATACACACACACACACACACACACATGCATGCACACAAAGATGATAATGAATAATTGGGATACAAAAATCACTTTTGACCTATAAAAATTCAATATGCCATTTTTCTTACAAAGCATGAATATCCTTTAGGTAGTAAGGTTATAGTTGTGTAAAAACTACTTTAATTAAATTACTTAATCAATTCAGTGAAGAAACCTATGTAAATTATTTTATTGGTTAAATCAATGATTTTTAAGGAGGCCATAATCATATATCTGTTATTGTGTAACAGTATATTATGAAATTTAAAATAACCACTGATGATGTTTCCTTTCACTTTACAGAAGCAACTTTTAAAAACTGAGGATAGGCACATCTTTAAAGAGATTTTACGAGGAAGTTCAATGTATAAAAATATATAACAGGGCCTGGGATTTAGCTCAGTGGTTCCACTGCCTGCCTCACAAGTGCAAGGTCCCAAGTTGATCCCTGGTACCAAAAAACAAAACAAAACAAACAGATATGACTGCAAAGTCCAATTTGAAAAGTTCTGCTTCACCAGTCCTAGGTTTGAGATTGTTTTTATTCCTCAGTCTGGCTATAACATGCAACCTTATAGGGGCAAACTACTGAATTCTTTTAATATTATATTGTATATTAAGGCTCCCCATAAATATAATCAATTTAGCCAAAAATGGTACCTGGCTTTTTTTTCAATAGAATTTCTGTTTAAGTATATCTCTCCTTTTATTTTTTTTTTCTCCTTTTACAAATTAAAGAATGAGGGGAAATGTCCTCAGAAAGACCGGCAAAATAAATGACTAGCCAGTTCACAGAAAAAGAAATGTAATGACCTTTGAATTCATAAGAAGATATTTGCCACCACTCATAAGATAAATATTAAGCAAAATAATGCTGAGATACCATTTCTCACCTATCCAACCGAGGAAATGGTCAACAATACTGCACTGGGAGGAGCGGGGGAAACAGGCATTCTTATGCCTGCCCGTGGGTACAGTGGCATATAAAGGGTGGGACCACCCCACCCAGCCAGCTTAAGGGGGTACATTGTGCATAGAGAGTTTAAGAGTTGATTGGCTTTTCATCACTGCGTGCCAGCAAGTCTAAACAATGTCTGATTACATTTTCCCTGAAAAAATCTTTTGTGTTCTAAACTCTTAAATAAATGTTATAGTGACTGTGGAGTTTCAACATCATTTATGTAAGCTTCATATTAGCATATTTTTATTACGTAGTTCTCAATTCTGAATTATATACAGAAGTTAATGTGGCAAACTCCCAGTTTGGCTTCTATACATGGATTCAGTTAAACATTCATTTCAGAAGTTAATTTTATAATGTTCTGAAATCATTCAAGCTTCCTTTGAGCACAGTTCATGTATCTAGCACTGTAATACACATAACCCTACAATTAAACAATGAATTCCAAATAAACAATACAGCTGCATATTATTTCTCTTTTCTAGGTTATT